CTGCCTGCGGGGACCGGCAGGTTCCCACCCCGGCGCTCAGGGCCTGTACAGGCGGCCGGCCGTGGGCTGGCAGCACGGCTGTGTGGGCTACAGAGTGAGAGATCAGGGAGAAATCGTGCCCTCTGAGGGTGGTGAGGCGCTGGCATAGATGGCTGTCCCATCCCTGGAGGTGTTCAAGGCTAGGCTGGATAACGCTTTGAGGAACCTGGTCTGGTGGGAGGTGTCCCTGCCCAGGGCAGGGGGCTTGGAACTAGATGGTCTTCAGGGTCCCTTCTGACCCAAAGCCGTTCCACAACCCTGTGACCACCACCTGCACGAGGAAGGAAGCAGGAGTCTGATGAAGCGGTGATGACATGATCTACCCCCAAAATCTTAATGCAGCTGGCAGTGCGCTGGCGTGTCCCTCCCGCATCCCTACAGCCCGAGGATGCGGGTGGAGCATTTGATTTTGTGTCCCAGGAACTGCGGCGTTAGGATTTAAATGTTTAAAGGGATGATGGCTTAAACATGGCAATTGTCTCTGATCCCTGCCGGCCTCCCTCCCTTCCCAGCCTCCTCCCACCCGTAAGGATTAGCAGCATGCTGGCTCCCTGCCCACCTCCCGTAGCCCTACCAGGGCACAAAAAAAGGGCTTTGCTGCACATCCACACCAATCGGGGTCCCAACACAGTAAGGGTAGAACGTTTCCTGCAGATTTACAGCATTTCACATCCGCATTGTTTTTTCTTCATGTCAATAAAAGCAGCAGGAGATGGAGGCCACTGCCAGCCAAAGCCAGGACACAGGTTTGCTGGCATGGCTCGGGCCGTGGGGGGAAGCCCACACATCTGAGCCCAGAGAGCTGGAAACACCTCCAGGAGCAAACCATTTAACTTTGGATGTGGTTGCTCGTGTTGCATTGCGTTCCCTCTCAGGTGGTGCCGTTGCCTCAGAGGAGGGGCAGACCCTGCACGCCAAGCCCCCCGTCCACTCGAAAGGTCAAGCAGCTGGGAAGGTACAAAAGCCCTGAAGCAGATATTTTGATTTCATTTTTTAATGAGTTGCATCGATGCTATTCAAGCAGAGCTGTTACGGTGCCCAGGGAACACCTGCCAGAGCAGACGCGGTGCCAGCGGGCGCTCGGCAGGCACAGGAGCAGTGAGCAGGACATCAGGCAAAGCCTGCCATCTCTCAGGGTTTGGGGAAAAGCCTGGGGAGGAGAGGACAAGAGAGCAGACCCGTCTCTCTGTCTGCTTACAGGCACTCTCAAGAGCCGACCTCTCAAATGTGCAGGAGCAGCCTCGCTTGAGGCAAGTCACATAAAGACACTGGAGATGGGGCGATGCTGAATTTCTGGACAATTTTAGACTCAGACTTTAAATATAAAGGGCCAGATCTGATTTCTAGCGTGGAGGTCCGCTGACTTGGCAGTAATACATACCTACAGGCCTGCACCAGAAGACATTCAAGACCCCCCGTCTCAGTTCCCAGGCTGCAGGACCAACTCCCATGTTTGGACATTGCTGCTGGGAAGGCAGTGCCTGCAATGTAGCTCAGACACTGTAGACCCCAAGCAGAAGCATCAAGACAAAAATGGGAAACAAACCTGGGGACACATGACAAAAGGTTTTCCCCTGGGACTAAGACTTTCACATCACATCTCCTACCCTTTCACATCCACATACTGGAGAACTCACAGCAACAGCAGAGCTTCACGTCTGCACTTTGGGGTTTCTTTTCTTCACCCATTAGCTTTGAATCTGTCAGTTACTCAGCAGAAATCAGATCGAGACAAAAAAGTGGGGAGAGCGATAGAGGGAACGACAGCAAGGAGTAACTCAGGGTGGGCAAACTACCATTAGCGAAAGGATTATTATGTTTCTCTGTTACATAGAGAAATTCTAATGGATAATAAAGAAAGCAACAAAGTTCATCGCTGGTCTGGTGCTGTGTCACTGCATGCCAGGAGTTACATCTCGGGAGGGCAGTTCACTTGATCCGTGGGCATCATTTTCTCGGTGTCAATCTTGTAGGACTGGAGAACGCTCTTCAGGTGCTCCACGGTTTCTGGGTGCATCTCAGGAGCTCTTGACAGAATCCAGGCGTAGTCAATGTGGAAGAGCCAGAGGATGTTAGTGCAGGAGTAAACCAGTGAGTAGTTTTCATAGTCGGTGGAGACGACCCAGTACGGGGCAGAAGGCATGACTAGGAGAAAGAAGGGCACTGTGAATGCCATGGGTAACTGACTCTGGACTACTCTGCAGGACTAGAGCCACAGCTCCTGCTGCTGTTCCCCCTTTTGCTGCTCCTGAGCCACATAATTGTTGTCAGTACAGGGAGATATAATTTATAAAAGCCTATCAGGACTCCTTGTTCTGCCCAGGTGACCCAAGAAAGCCACAAAGCCCCAACCAGGAAGGACATGTTGGAAAGTTAACACCATGACCTGAACAGTTTGGCCAGGCGACCGACAACCAGCCCAGCTGGTACCTGTGTGGGGGTGCTTGCTGGCAGGAGGGAGCTATAGGGCTGGGAGCTGGCACTGGTGATCTGAGGAACACGAACCACCACCTCCCTCCTCACCACCCACTGCCCCACACAGCCAGCTGGACCCCAGGTGGTGGGAATCAGTTTGACTCAGTCCATTCCACCAGCACCAGCCACCTGGGCCAAATTCTGTTCTGCATCAGGCTGCTATGCCCAAAGCATCTGCTCTGCTGAGGGACAATTGCTCCAGCTTCAAACCATGAGGCAGGAAGCAGAGGTGGGTCCAGCAGGCAGCTGTAAGTGCCCTGGGATTTCTGATGCACTCAGGAATGCTGGGGGATGTTCTCTGAGGCCCGTGTCCAGTGAGGATGATGGGGTTGGACACCCTGTGGGCAAAATGGCTGTGGGCGATGCCTTAGCAGCGCGTGGCTAAGTCTGGCTGTGCTTGTGAATGGTAGTTGTCCTTTGCAAGTCCCCCTATTCCACCCATTTCTCCAAATAACCCATCTGGGTGGGTGCTATGAAACAGCCCAGGAAAAGGTGCGAGGGAGCCAAAGGGAGACTTCTGCCGACAGTCCAAGCGTAGCTGTGGACAGGGGGAGGTGCTCTGCAACCAGAATAAAGTGTGCTGCCCTTCAGCAAGCCCTTGTCGTGTGTTGCATTGACCAGGGAAGAAAAAGCAAACAAAACCAGATTAGTAACGGTTATTATAAGTCACTTGTAAGCAGAAGCAGGGTGGGATAGAAGCTATACTGCTGTGTTCAGAAAAACAAGCCTATTCCTGGCCCTTGCAGCAGTTGTGGAGCAGCTTTCCCCACCCGCCCCATCTGTTAAACGGCCTGGAGGGATGGTAATGCTGCTCATCTTTCTTGCTTTGAGATCAATTAGTGCAGAGTGCTCTACCCCTGTGGGGGCTGTTGCTGTAACTGATGTATAAATATCACCAAACCACTGCCTGCTGGTCACAACCTCTGTCCTAACCCTTTGAAATCACCCATGGTGCTGCGCTGAAGTCACCGTATCAGCTTCATCTCTCGTGTTCCTCGTTTTCCACCCCTGGTGCCACGGCAGCGGTGCCTGCCCCATGCCCTCCCGCCATGCCTGCCCCTCAGCACGACCCTCCCAGCCACACACTTACACCAGTTAAAGCGCACGCCCAGCTTGGCCGGCTCCTTTACATCCATGTGCATAATTTCTCCTTCAACTTCATTGACTTTGCCATTGGAACTAAGGTGAGAACAACAAGGTGAGAAATAAAATCGGATGAGTTTGAAATCACTATTTATTTATTTATTTTCTTCCCTTAAATCATCCCTACTGATGCATCTGCCTGCCAAGAGGTGCTGAAACACATGCCAGCAAACCACAGCATCCCTGGAGGGACAACTTACCCCTGGGGACGGTTTCCCAGGGGCAACCCAGGGCACGCCAGGTCCTGGACCAGGAACAGTGGGGCAAAAGCCACCTCAGGGTGCCTCTCTCCAAGTGGTCTTCAGTGCCATGGAGGCGGTGACAGAGAAGAGGGAGAGGAAGACCCCTCTGCATGGGACAGGACAATCCCAGCACTGATTCTGGATGTGCCAGGGAGCAGCCCAACTCCGGCTGATTGTGGGAGGCATGTGTGCACATCTGTTTAATCACCTGCATTTTTCCAGGTCACAGCACATTCCTCAGCACACAAATTACCTGTCCCTGCTCGGTGAGCCAGGGTTTGTTTCGCTGCTGGTCCAGAGCACTGCCCTGCTGGCAGCAAGCCCTACAACTCGGGCTGCCCATCTTATAATTGCATTTTTCCCTGGATGCCTCAAGACCTGGACGCTGCCTGTGGGGCAGGAAAGTGTCACACTTCCCCACGAAACAGGAACACCGAAGAAGACAGCAGCTAATGCTGCCAGCAGCAGACAGAGGTCAAGGGGCTGATGCTGGAGCCATGCACAGTGTACACCAGACCTAAAATATTCCTGATATTTCAGGGTCCTGAGCTGCTGCAGTGGTGACTGAATGGACAGATTACTCTCCCGCAGATGAATGCAGCCGCAAATAAATGTCCAGCTGTTTGCCAGGAGCTGCCCTCGCAGTGGAGCTGCGGAGACAGTGCTGCAGGGTCAGCGGGCAGCATGGACGCTGCTCTCTGCCAGACACAAGGGATGTGATGCTGCCTTGTTGTTATTGTGAGCCAGAACAAAGTCCCCATGGCATGCCAGGAGCGCAGGGGACGGGGCTGCATTTGCCGCTCGCTCCCTCTCATTCATTCAGCCACCCACAGCAGCACCCAGCGACAGCCGGGGCTGGTGATGGACATAGATTAATTAGTATCTGCATTGGTCCTCGCAAAAAGCCAGGAGGGCTCGGGATAATTGAGGCTATCAAGTACAATAAAGAGAACAATCAGTATTTTAACTTTGTTCATTGATTTAAACTGGCAACGATTGCTGAGTCCCTAACACAGCAGTTAGTACCAGTGCAAGGTAGAGGCTCCAGAAAAAGGCTGACAAATATTTGCTTAAGTAAAAATGACCGGTGTGCTTCACCTTCCCTGCTCCCTTCATCGGGTCCCTTCACTCCGGAGCAGAGAGGAGCACAGGGCACAGGCACCTCTCAGTACTCAGGGGCACAAGGTGGTGGCTGCTGTCCCATAACCAGCCCCTCCATGGTCCCCCCAGGACAGGACCTGGGGCATCCTGCTTCTCAGCCATCACTGGGGATCACAAACCAGTCAGGGGGGAGATGCAGGCTATTTCACAGGGGGGTCACCATGTGCGTTTGATCTATTTTCTTATTACTCACCTTAGACAATGAGACAGAGACCTGGTGAGCCTCATGGAAGCACCAGAAGAGACCAGAGATATCCCTGCCATAACTGCAGCAAAGCCCATTATCCCAGCAGAGCTACTGCAACCACAGGGTGACTCCCCAGACCCGGAAACAGGCAATTTGGAGAAAAATGACCACCCAGGATGGCAAGAGAGGTGACAGGAGTACCACCACCACAGTGAGGACACGACCTGAACGCAAACACTTACAGCAGCTCCTTGTTGATCACCTTGAACTTCCCGTTCTCCTTCAGTGAGTAATTTGCCTGGATGCAGCTTCCTTTCTCGAAACTTGAGGGCAGCTTCTCTATCTCGTACCACTTCCCCAAATACTGACAGAAGAAAGTCCAGAGAGGTGCTTTTAGCACGAGAGGGCTGAGGCAGAGCAGCCCGGCTCGTTTGCTGGCACTGTTCAGCCTGCTCAATTCATTCCAGTGCCCACCCCCGTTGTGTGGGAGGCTGCAGGGGGTTACTGGGACCACGGACCTGCTCTGGCAGCTCCAGCACAAGGTGTCAAGACCAAACCTGCCAACCACCCCCCCCCCATGCACCCAGGCAGTTTGCCATCAGTCCCATGTGCCCTTAGCCTAGCTCGCTACCCACTGAGAGATTTTTTTAGGAAGCTTTTCGCACCTTGTTGATATCAAAGTCTTCTTGGACTGATGGATCTGGGCACGGTCCCATGTGAAACATCTGGGCTTTCCCAAAACTGAAGAGGCCGAGCAGGACCAAGAGCTGCACCGCCGTGCCCAGCATGGCTGTGCTGGGATGCCGGTGGGAAATAGACCTGGAAGGAAGAACATAGCTGAGCTGGGGCCTCCCTGGAACAGAACTTTGTGTGAAACACAGCAAGAAAAAGAGGACACCTGCAGCAGGGCACCTCAGGGTCATGGTGAGGAGAAAAGGACCATGAGAAGAACACAAACATGCTATGCCAAATAAGTCTCCAGCCCAAAATGGCCTCAAGCTCTGCCTGTGCTGAGGCTGTGTCCTGCAGCTCTGAGGGGAGCAAGGCAATGCCAGGTGAGAGCACTTGTACCCATCACCCACACCTGGCAAGATGCAGGGGTGATAAACCCTTGAGGACACATAGAAGCATCGTCATCTGGCTCCCCTGGCCAGAAACTCCTCCACAGTGACAGTGGTAGCTTTTCCCCCAAGTTTAAAAGAAGAGTCCAGCCTGTCTCCAGCTGCCGGGCACGGGTCCCACTGCGGACACAAACACAGCTCCCATCCTGAATCTTTTCATTAAGAAACATACCTTGGCTGATGAGGTGGAGTGATGCTCTGCGGAGGACCAGGGCTGCAAGGACCAGCTCTGTGGTGAGCTCTCCGCCTCATCGATTTATAAGCGCGCCGGGATCATCATTATTCAGCAGCAGCACAGGCCCCTCCCTGGTCCTCGACATGTTTTGTTTTTTTGGCCGGCCAGTCAGCTGCCTCCAATCTGCAGCTGGTATGAAGCTGGAGATGGGCTGCGACTTGGCTGCTCACCCAGGCAAACAAAGGCACCCCACGTGTCTGGGTATCGCTCTGCAGCTGCGGAGCTCTCTGCTGTTCGGCCACCCATGAGAGCCTCGGACCTGGGTGCAAACAACAGGGGAAAGGGAGAAGGAAAAGTGCCCCAGCCTTTGAGGTGGGCTGGGGACAGCAGTGGCTCCCGTCCTGCTCCCTCTGGCCCAGCAGCACCTTCCCAGGGGGGACATGCGACCTCCTCGAGGGCCACTTGAGCCCTCCAGGCCACTGCAATGTCCTCGTCCCCATCACAGTCACTTGCAGGAGTTCATGGGGAGGATTAAGTAGCAGGAGGCATCACAGGCTTCTCCGGGGAGCTGCAAGACCTCTCAACAATTTTTCTTCTAGACTTTTACATCTCATTAGAAGGAAAGATGCTGGTGCAATTAGTTCTGTGCTGACCTGGCAGTTTTTCCAACAGGTGCCCAGCAAATGACTTTGACAGCAGAGCAGCCATCTGTGAAGGCAGCCGGTCCCAAGGGTTATGCAAGGAGAGTTGAGTAACAGACAGGATGCTCTCTGTGTTTAATTACATTTTCTTTTAATCTGATCTCTGTTGAGACTTTCTCTCTGGGTATGTTTTTACACGCTGCACCCCGTGCCTCACTCTCACATGCACACACACACTCCAGAGCCCCTGGCTGCCCAAATGCCACCCCAAGAGCCACAAATAGCTCCATCCTGTCCCATACCAGGGCTGTGCCCTGAAACACAGCCAAGGTGCCCCCAGGACCTCGATGGCCATCATGGCTAAGCATTTCTCGTCCAACACAGACCCAGTGGTTGCCAGCTGGGGGTAAAGAGCTCTGGAGAGCACCCACTCCATGGGTGCTTGGCACGAGGCAGGGGAGCACACAGGGGCCTGCACCCCAGCTCCCTCAGTGTTTTGGCAGCCACCGAGTGTGTGTCCCTGATGGGGTTGCTCTGGCTGCCCACGTGAAAGTCAGTGGTGTCCTGCAGACCCTCTGCAAGCCCCATGTTCATCTGCACTTCTTGTGATACAAACAGGTTAGCAATCACAAAAACCCTGGACAGATGCCCTGACCTGGATGGTAAAAGTGCTGCCATGCCATAGTGCACTGCAGAGCTGACATCAATGTCCCCACATCAGACCAACAAGTTCAGCTTTTCTCCTGAGCTTGGCTGCCTGCATCCTGCAGAGCAACCAGAGGAGAAAGTGCTGCAGAATAGCCAGCCTTGGCCACAGCAGAGCATTTGCCCTGCGTGCGTGAGGGCAAGCATGTGGAGGTGTGTCTGTGTGTGCACCCTCCTGCAGGACTACTGCATCCAGCTTTGGAGTCCTCAGCACAAAAAGAACATTGACCTGTTGGTGAGGGTACAGAGGAGGGCCACGGAGATGATCAGGGGGTTGGAGCACCTCTCCTATGAAATCAGGCTGAGAGAGTTGGGGTTATTCAACCTGATCAAGAAAAAGCTACGTGTAGACCTTACAGAAGCCTTCCAGTATCTGAAGGGGGCCTACAAGAAAGATGGGGAAGAGCTTTTTACAAGGATAGGTAGTGATAGGACGAGAGGTAATGGCTTCAAACTGGAAGAAGGTAGATTTAGATTAGATATCAGGAAGAAATTTTTCACTGTTGAGGGTGGTGAAGACACTGGAACAGTTTACCAGACAACAGTTTGTGGATGCCCCATCCCTGGAAGTGTTCAAGACCAGGCTGGATGGGGCTTTGAGAAACCCAGTCTAGTGGAAGGTGTCCCTGTCCATGGCAGAGGGCTTGGAACTAGATGGTCTTCAAGGTCCCTTCCAACCTAAACCATTCTATGATTCTGTGAACTGAGGACTCCCTGGCTGTGGTGGCAGCAGTTCTGATGAGTATTTTCACCTTGCTGCGGCAGAAGGGGCTTGTGCTCACTCTGCCCATCAGGCACTGCCCAGCACCCAGGGGCTGCCCTGCAATGCTGGCCCTGCCAGTGCTGTGCCCAGGTGGCTGGAATGGCGGTTTTGGCTCCCAGCACCCTGTGGCCAAGGTCACACCGGAGCAGTGAGGTGTTTACCCAGCCATGGTCCATGAAACCTGCTGCAGGAACATGCATTCACCTGGGACATGGCCCAGGAGGTGATGAGGGGCCAGGAGCCAGCGAGGACTGATATTCCTGAGCCACATGAGAGCAGAGATGGCATGTGGGGTGGGCTTTGTTGTAGCCATTGGCTCCCTCGCAGCCAGCACCAGCAGCACTGGAAGCAAGCCTATGACTTGGTAGGAGATGCAGGGGTCACACCTCCAGCATCTTCAGAAGCCCAGGTGCTGGAACATGTAGAGCCCTGCTCCTCCACTTGGCTGCCGCCAGCCAAGGGGCATCCGACGGTGCCGAGGCACCGCACACCTGGAAGCACAGATGATGTGAGCTGACAGCCGAGCTCGCTGCCGGCTGCTGGGACCTGTCTCCACGTGAGCAATGGCTGCGCCTTCCCCAGGGGCACATTTCTGGGCTCTGCCTGACCATGGCAGGAAGCACCCAGGTATCTGCTGTTCCCGTGCTGGGACAGAGCAGGCTCAGGCTCTTGTAGCTGAGTCCCTGCTCAGGCATCCAGGCCAGAACGTGTTCAGAGGCCATCCCACCTCCAACACCCACCAGCGCTTCTCGCCCACACAGACCAGGGCCCTGCTCCATGTCCCACCTGTCGTTAGCCCAGAGCAGGACTCCACTCATGAGCCTGTCCACCTTCAGTGGACACCAGAGCAAAGGTTCAGGGAAAAGCATAACCTTATAATTGCACCTAATTGTGGGGTGGGGAGAAGTCCTCTCCACCCGGTAAGCCGTTTGTAGCCTGGAGCAGAGGAGGGGAGACACATCAAAGGGCAGGAAGCCAGAGCAGGGGTGGGGAGGACAGGAAGGAGGAGATCTGGGGGGGGAAACCAGGGCAAAGGGGGGGGGCACCAGGCACGCTCTGGGTGCTTGGTGCAAGAATGAAGCCTACCCCACATTTCTGGGTGATGAGGCAGCTGGAAGGCCAGCGTGCGGGGTGCCTGCAGAGAAGGTGGAGGTGAAGTGCTGCAGAGTAAGGTGGAGCTGCAGATAAAATCCACAGTGCCACACCACCCCGGGAGCCCTACCTGCAGGTAACCTGGCTTAGTGCAGTTAGTGAGATCATCCCGTCCCGCACACCAGACCACCCTGAAATCAGCTCCTGGGACCCCAGAGAAAGGCTCTTAGCACTCTCTGTCCCCCCACTGGGATTTCAGCAGCTGCAGAGAATATCCCAGCAGCTTTGCACATGCCATGGGATGGAAGAGCAGTGGGAGTGACACCATCATCTCAACCCTGATACGAGATCCAGTCCAGGCCTTGACGTTACTTGGGTCAGCCTAGAAACTGCCCAAGGTCTCACCAGTGGCAGAATCCTCTGGTGGAGGCACTGCAGGGACCAGGAGCTCTGGGACACCGCCAGCTCCAGCCCTGGGAGCCACTAGCCCAGGACTCCCTGCCTCTCTCCTGTGAGGAAGCTTTCATCTCCAGATGGTGTCTGCTGAGCAACCCAAATGCACAAGGGATGAAAAGCTGCCACGGTTATAGCCACTTTGCACCATTTTGCATGAAGAGATCCTGCCTTCAGGCCCTCTGCCTTTGAAGCCCCGGTGCCGGAGCTTCTCTGCAGGACCTGCAGTGTCAACGCATCATATCCTGGGACCCAGGATATCCTGAGAATCCTGAGACTCCCACCACGGAGACGCCGTTGTTTGCATGGACAGCCCTTCCTGCCTCAGGAGGTGCCTTCCCTCCTTTCTCTGTCTTATCTCCTACGAATTCATTTTCGTTGTTTTTCTCCTTCCTCTAAAGGAAATGGGGCTTTGTGCTGCCCAGACAAGTTGCCACATGTCAATAGAAACAAAAATGAATTTGCAGGAGACAAGACAGGGAAAGGGCAGGCAGGTGGGAATGTTCCTCTGTTTCTAGGAGTGGCAGAAAGTGCTTTGAAATCTGTTCATGCAAAATGGTGTAAAATTTCAAATTACAGTTATGACACCAAAGGAAGTAAATAGACTCTGGGAGTGTGAACTGGCCTCTGGGATATGGGAACTGGGTCCAAGGCAAGTGTACGAAAGATGTTGTGATTCATGTATTTACAATTAGTGAGTAGCTCTCCACCCTGGAAATTATCCAATTATGTATTCAAAACACAAGAAACCAAAGAGAGATATTTAGGAAGTTGGAAAACTAAAAAAGTTATTATTATTTAAGGGACAAACCCTGTCATGCAGGACCAGCAGCGGTTCTGGCTGGGCTCTGAGGAAGGCTCCCTGACCTGCTGCTGAGGTCCAAGTCCCTGCAGAGAGGAGCCATAGGGATCCCTACTTTTCTGAAAGTAAAAAACCAAAACACAGCAAAGAAAAACAATGCCAAAGAGGTACAAAAGAGGTACAGGCAAGTCTCCACAGCCAGAACTACATTGCAGAACCAGAGCTGGACCAGCAACTAAGCTTTGGCCCAGAGGCATCTCACCACTGCGGATGTGGTCACTGTGAAAACCAGAGTTCAAGCAGTGCACTTAACCCTGGCTTTTGAGTATGTCCAAAAATGTCCTGCACCAGAGTCAGCCTCACACTGCTAAATAAGGCTGGGGTTTTTTGTTTTGGTTTGTTTTTTTCTGCTGGGTTATCACAGCATACGTACGGTAGGTGCCGTGCAGCGCAGGCGCTCAGCCAGGTTTTGTTCTCACTGAGAGGAGCGAGGAGTCGCGCAGCAGAAGGGGGCAGAGTAGGACTTCTCCAGATCCCATGGCAGATACCAGACTCCTGTGGGCCCCAGCCGTGAATGCCGCTCAGGTTTAGGTGCCGCTGGGGCTGGGGGCCCTGGCTGCTGCAGCTTGCCTCAGGGTGCTGTAAAAAAT